TTGGTAGTAGAGTTTGTGTGTTTCCCTTCTTTGAATTGTGCTGGTGAAGGGTCACTAGATGTCTGAGTTCTGGTGGGCATTATTGGATTCCTTGGTTTGTTGGTTTGTGATTTTCCTTCTATTACTTTCTGTAAGTCTGTATTTGTAGCTACATATTGTTTAAATTTGTTTTAATCCTGGAATATTTTGCTTTCTCCATTGATAGTGAACAAAAGCTTGGCTGGTATAGTAGTCTGGGCTTGCATCCATGGTCTCTTAGTTTCTGCAGTACCTCTATCCAAGACCTTCTGGCTTTCATGGTTTCCATAGAGAAGTCCAGTGTAAGTCTGAAAGGTTTACCTTTATAAGTTACTTGACCTTTTTCCTTTACTGCTCTTAATATTCTTTCTTATTCTGTATGTTTTGTGTTTTGATTATTATATGGTGAGGGGATTTTTTTTTGATCCAGTCTATTCAGTGTTCTGTATGCTTCTTGAACCTTCATAGGAATATCGTTCTTTAGGTTGGGAAGGTTTTCTTCTATAATTATGTTGAATATATTTTCTGGGCCTTTGAGCTGTAATTCTTCTCCTTCTTCTACCCCTATTACTCTTAGGTTTGGTCTTTTTATGGTGTCCCAGATTTCCTGGATGTTTTGCAAAGAGAATTTGTTGGATTTGATGTTTTCTTTGATCAATGTGTCTATTTTCCCTATGGTATCTTCAGCATCTGAGATTCTTTCTTCTATCTCTTGTATTCTGTTGGTTATGCTTGTCTCTCTCATCTCTGTTCATTTACCTAGATTTTCCATATCCAGTCAGTCCTCGGTGTGTGTTTTCTTTATTGCCTCCGTTTCTCTTTTCAAGTCTTGAACTGATTCCATTATCTGTTTGATTTTTTTTTGGTGTCCTAGGGTATCTTTTATGGATTTATTCATTTCTTCAAACTTTTTGATATTCTTCTCATCCAATTTTTAAGGGAGTTTTTCACCTCCTGTTTAAGGGACTCTATAGCTTTCATAATGTCAATTTTTTCTACTTCTTCTGGATTAGGGTGTTCAAATCTTCCTCTTGTATGTTTGCTGGGTTCTGGTGTTATCATGTTGTTTTTCAGATTGTTGGAGGAATTCTTGCATTGGCGCCTGCCCATCTCTTCCTTCAAATGCTCTCTAATGGATCTTCTGGTACAGGAACAGGGCCACTAGCTGGCCAGGAACCTAGCAGACAAAAAGGCAGGCTTGCAGAGTGCAGGCTCAGTGAAACAAAGGAACTCCTGCACCCTTGCACTCCCCACTTTTTCCCCAGATCCTCAGCTCCAAAGCAGGCAGAGTTGGGGGATCCTATGTCCCCGAAGAAGGGAAGGGGTTCCTGTGAACAAACTGGGATGGGATAGGAAGAGAGAGGCAGTAGCCGGGAGAGACGCCCCTGCTGAATACCCAGATAGTTTAGGGGTTTGCAGGGTGTCTGTGCTCCGTTTCCGGGGCAACCGTCGGCCAGTCTGGCCAATGTTGAATTTTGTAGACCCAAAATTCTGCTGTAAAAAATACCCCATTATTTCCTGTCCTCTGGGTGTGAGCAACAGCTGCAAATGACCTTAGCAACTAGGGTGAGTACTCATTCAGTTATGTAAAGTGATATCCTCCGTATTTGATGTTGCCACTGAGTGCAAAGACCTCTGTGTCATAACCCAGGGCAAAGGCATCCAACAGTTACCCCAAAGCTTTCAGCATGCTGTGCCGGCTGTTGGGACTTCTCAAGCCCAGTGACTGACCCAGACACCACTTCGTTTGCCTCTGTTCTCAAGACATGCCAGCAGCTCATAGTATGATATGTATCTGCCATATACACGACTCCCATTACACACACTGGAGCTTCAATTATCCATCTTGTTCCTTGGTTTATTGAGTTCTTGCTATGGTTTAGATCTTACACGTCCTCACACTGTAAGGAGTTAGAAGTCTTTGAGAGGCACAGTGGAAGGTCTTTGGCATCTATGCTGCCTGCTTGCTAGCTCTATTTATGTTCTAGCTTTCTTCTTCATTGTTCAACAGTTTAGGTTCCAGTCACTAAAATGATGCTGCACATTTTCAGTGATCAATTACCATTTAAAGTAATCCTGCACAGACATGCTCAACATCAAACTGATCTAAATAATTCGTCTTTGAAGATCCCTCTCCCTACATGACCGTAGTTTGGATCAAGCTGATAATAAAAACTAAAAAGAATAATCCCCAGTATTGGTTTCAACTTTTGAACAGATTTGGGCATTGTGTCAATGGTCTCCAATAGGACTACAGGCTCCATGCTCCTAAATTAGAAAGTGCTTGCAAAGGAATCTCCTGAATGTCTTTTGCCCATGGATGTGAGAGTCCCCTCTGTATGCTGTGAATGTGTTTTCTTACCATTGGTTAATAAGGAAGCTGCTTTGGGCCTATGGTAGGCAGTATAGAGCAAGGTGGAAATTCCAAGCAGAGATAGAGGGGGAAAAAGGTGGAGTCAGGGAGATGTCTTGCAGCTGCCAAAGGAGAAAACTTTAAGCCACCAGCCAGCACCTTACCAGTAGGCCACAACCTCATGATGATTCACAGATGAATAGAAATTGGTTAATTTAAGATGTAAGAGTCAATTAATAAGAGGCCTGAGCTAACAGATCAAGCAGTGTTTTAATTAATATAGTTTCTGTGTGACTATTTTGAGTTTCGGTGACTGGGAAATGAATGAGCAGTCTCTGCCTACAGAACGGCACCCAACATTGGGCAACTGCATCCACATAAAACCTAAAAGAGCTTGAAAAGCAATTCTAAATGCAAAAAGTGAGCATTTAGCACTGTTTCTTGGTAACCACATTTTTTTAGATGGGCTGTATTTGCTGGCAGTGAGCAGGGGAGCCACAACTCCATTAAGAAAGGTCTTTCTGACTCAGCATTGGCAGCAAAGGCTGCATGGCTTCATTAGAGGAGGGCTTTCTACTTCATGCTAGTTGTATGAACAGCTCTGGCTCTTTCAGGAGGCTGAGCACTTAAATGGGGTCAGTGAGTAGTATAGGTGTCCAAGGAGATGTCCCCAGCTTGTTCCTTGAGCAGCTGAGGAGAGGGCGCCTGAACTGGCCTTATCCTATAGCCACACTGATGAATATCTTGCATATCACCAGAGAACCCCCATCTGGCGATGGATGGAGATAGAGACAGAGACCCACATTGGAGCACTGGACTGAGCTCCCAAGGTCCTTATGAGGAGCAGAAGGAGAGAGAACATGAGCAAGGAAGTCAGGACTGCAAGGGGTGCACCCACCCCTTGCAACTCCTGTGCATTAGGAGAGACAAACGACAATTTCCTTACATTATGTTTACTCTGGTTGGGTTTCACACACTGGTTTTTAGCCAGTGGATAAGGGATTAGAATGGACGATCCACAAGAGACTTCCTAATTGTTACCACTTAAGAGATGCTTTAGATCTTTCAGAAATTGATACATTTAATTTTTGTATAGATTTACTCTTCTTTAAATAAATCAGAGAAAAAATACAACTGGTGAAATCAACTTTAACAAAGATACGCATATGTGCTACTAAATGTTAGATACATGTAAGAGTACTATTAAATTGAAGGAAGGAATCTGCTAAATATCAAGATAAGGTAGAGTGGTTTAAAATGATTCTATTAACAACTACCACAGTTTAGGACGAACAGAGCTGAGACTCAGAAAACAGATAGATATAAATATAAAACATATTTGATAAAAACTGTAGAATGAAGTAGAAATAATGAAAGAAAACTGTTCTCACCCACAGAGACCAGATTGTTGTAGTTCTTCAACATGACAACCCAGTACAAAGTCCTCTTAGCAGAGTTCAGGCATTCCCATTCCTCCAGGGAAAATTCTATTGCCATGTCCTTGGAAGTTAATGGACCCTGAAATAAAAATTGTTTCATTCTGTGTCCACTGGCTGAGTCTTTACTAAGTGAATAAAATTTATAATTAACTACAAAATTTGTTCTGTTATCATTAATCAATCCTAAAGTTCTGATCTGGGAGGGAGAGAGAGAGTACATTTTGACTTGTCTACAAAGATTCCAAGGACCCTCAGATGAAAGTTTAATGGGCGTTGAGTCTCTCCCCGGTAAAAAAGGAATCATCCATATCTTTCTCTATAGCACTTAGTAACTACATTCATCTTTATTTCAGAAAGTTTGTAAATATTTCAGATCATGCATTCTTGAGAGAAATATAAAACAAGGGAAGGGGGAAGCACATTGCAGCACATAGATGACATAAATTTAAAGGGTTAATATTGAGAATCATACAGAATAATAAAAAAAAACAAAATAGGCTAACTATGATGATCAGGTCTATGTTAGTCTTGTCTTTAAAAGGATGGAGGACCTGGTGACAAAACATCTCCATTATCTTTTGTAGTCTCCTCCAGCTGGGTGTGATGGGTACACAGGGTGACAGTGGCAACCTTCACTGATGTAGAAGTGGTAAGGATCACAGGGTATGGGCCTTTCTATGTTGGCCTCTGGCTCTGGGTTAGCATCCTCTTCACCCACATAAGGCCACCAAGATGGAAGTTATGGGTGGGCTCAGACACGGGCAACAGTGCAGCCTCTTGACCTGTCTGATAAATGTCCTCTGGGTCTGTGTAGGGTCTATAACAAATTGAGAAGGAAGGGGTTAGCAACTTGTTCCTCAGGAACTTCTGTATATGAGGTGCACTTCACCTTTGAGCAGGCAGAGTAAGAGGTTGGCCCAATTTTACCAGTCTAAACAGAATATTTAGTTTACCTATGCCTGGTATATCATAAAGTTTGTAAACACTGCAGGTTATCCATGATGGAGAGATTGATCTTGAAGAATATGTGAGGCAAACAGATGACATGCTCTGTACAAGAGCTGACATTGGCAATCATGTGAGAAAATGGAAACAAAGTCTTATAAAAAGTGAGGAAATAGTGACTGCTTGAGGGCTCTGCAAATGAAGCATTCCTGTAAGAACAACCTGTCCCATCCCCGTGCATATCTTAGAACAAGCCATCTCTCATTAACCTTCTATTTGATATTCTCAGGAAACTCAAAATTTCACCTTCCTCATGATAATCTAGATTTGAAGACGAACAGCAAACCCTCTACACATGTTACTATACCCAGAGACTAGAAAGTTGTAATCCAATATGACCTCACTCTGACCTGTATCAGAGCAGATGCGCTTCCTCAAAAGCTCTGAGAGGAAGAACAAGCCTAAGGTTATCACTTTCTGTATTTAGGTAGGCAAGTGAGAGGAGGCCTACACTGTAGACCTGAGAAGGTAACTGAAATCGCCTGCTATACAATACACATGCAGGTTGGAATTTCCAATGGAGCCTGAGCATAGCTGTCCGAAGCCCTAAGGACTTTTCCTCACTTCCTTTTTCTCTGTGATGTTTGAACAAACAATATTGATTATTCTCTTGAGAATAACTGATGAAATCTGTGGTGTAGCAACAGCGAAAACTATTTTTCACACTGGCTGAAAGATCTAGATCCTTGATACCAAAAGGGAGCGAATCAATCCATGTCCCATAACTGTCTCCAATGAGGTACTCAGGTTTCCACCTCCCAGTCTAAAATCCTATGATGCTGCAGCATGGCAGAGACACTCATAATTAGATTCTCTTACAAGTTTCCTTTTCACGGTGACATTGCTTCTCTAGGATGCACTGTCAAAAGCACTAATGTAAGAAAGAGACATGAGAAACAGAAGGTGAAATTCAGACCAAAATGTGGGCTGTCAGCACTGCTTTAATGCCTTTGATCGTTAAGGTAAACAACTAAACTCCATCCTCAAACATCATTGTCATTGTCAGCAATTTAACATATATAAAAGGATGAAAAATCTCTCATATGTAAGTGTGCTCTGAAACACAGGAATTCCTTAATTCAATTGTACCAAGAATGCACTGTACGATACCTGGAAGTGACACTGTACTCCATTTCACACATACTCAGTTTGTCTTCATTTTCTTCAGAAATTGAACAGTAACTACTCAACCATTCCTTTAATATTTAAAGGGAATGCTCAAGCATTTCTAATTTCCTGTCTCTGTCTTCCACTGAGGTAAGGTGTCTCATAAAATCCAGGTTGTATTCCATGTATCTCAGGATGCAGAATACAGGTTGCATGGATCCTGCACTGTGAAATTTAAATTTCAGAGTTCAGTTCAAAATTACTACAAATGGCGAATGTCCATTGAATTTTAAGTGATCAGTAGCATACCAGTGCATAAAAAAAATTCTTCAAGTTAGAAATGAAACCAGAAATTGAAAACATCCCTCAAGAGATTTAAATATAAACAACTCCAACATTGTCTGCTATGAAATTCTCCAGAAGAGGCACATCCATAAAGGAATAACCCCTCGAAAGTCCAACTTTTCACCCAAGGTCCTGTAAGAAAAAGAAAGAAGAAAGAAGGGAGGAGAAGAAGGAAGGAGAAAGAAGGAGGAGAAGGAGGAAGAAAGAGCAGCACATTGGAAAATCAGGCAGAAATATAGTGGCAGCATTCAAGATGTAGGGCACCAGTGCTAAGCTTCTCCTTGCTCAGAAAAAAATGCAGGAAAATAAACCTATGTTAACTAAGACTTTTGGTCACAGTAATTTCTTTCTTATTGATTCAGGCTCTGTATATCCACTGTCATACTGATTCTTCTCTCCTTTCCCCAAAAATAACAAGTCCTTCCTACTTTAAGTTTCTTTGATCATACTTTCTTTTTAATCACAGTAATAGCTACATTTAACACAGGAGAGAGCAAGCATTGGTGTAAAGGATTAAAATAATTATCGAACAGGAAGAGAGAAACTGGAGTTTCACACGTTCTCATCATTACCGAAATACCAGAAAAATGGGCCCAAATCAAACTTCTGTTCTTTTTGTTAGCCATAAATTTCAAACAGCAATGGTGTTAAACCACCATCCCTTACATGTCTTGGCCAAGAACTTTCTAATAAGACTATGTATGCAGGTACTTGTACACACATTGGCAAACACCATATGGGCATGCATGAGCACACGCGCACATACACACACACACACACACACACACACACACAAACATATACACACACACACTAATCTGAGGTTGTCTATTTAAATCATCTTTTTAGTTTAATGTATTGCAAGGTAAATTAAAACTACTAACATGCATTTTATGGGATTACAAAGAGATGCAGAATAAATATTACACGTGGTTTTATAATATAGACTGAAGATTAATCAATAACTTATTTACACTATATTCTACATAATTTTGTTATATTCATTCCAATGTCCCTGTAATACTAAATATGGCCATTTAGAACAATACTGTGCCAGTTAGTTCAGGTTTAAGTTCTCTAAAAAACTTCACTAAGGAAACACCCAGTATTGCCCCTATTATGTAGGAATGAATGAATAGAATAAATCTTTATTTCACAGAGGTTCAAATAATTGGGTAGAGTTTAATGATGTGAATGACTTCTCCATTGCAGAGCAACATTTTATAGTATATCATGAAATATAATACATTTTATTCATTAAGACTAACTACATTTCCCTTGTCCTTAAACACAGCTGTCAAATTCACATTTACATGGAAAAAAACTGATTTCAGCCACTGAGAAACAATTACTCAGTTAGATTAAGAATCACTTTGTCAGTTCTGAAAACCAGTACAAAGTTATTAGGTTATCTGCTGACTAGGTTAAATTTTTTTCCAGATATACAAAGAATAGGTTACAATTAACTGATTGTTGTTCACATTCATTTCTGTCTATAAAATCTTATTGGAAAATTTCTACTGTGAGACCCACCAGTATTTAATAAACTGGCGATATTGCCCTAATGAAAAGTAATGAATGAATTATTTTAAACACTCCAAATATTTTGCTGCTGGAATAGAGAATATTACCTTACTGTTTTCATATCCTGCATGTCTCCAGAAACATAACAAGGGAATGAGAAAAAGATAGACAGATACACGATAGGTGATCTCGGCTCTCTGATGGAGAAACTACATCACCAGGAAAGCTCAGTCTTTTTGTATATGGCTGAACAGAGAGGCACACAAATAAAGAGTCAGGGTTGATAGATACAGCTGAACAAAGACATGCTTGGCTCCTATCACTAGAAGCAGTCTCTGTAGCAGAGCAGTGTTCAGGCCTGCAACATCTGTACACACTGTCAACATCCACGTATGTACCAGAGGAGGCTTTGTCACCTTCCAAACTTCACATACTGGAGAGGGAGATGCTTTGCTTTTTCCCGTGGTTCTGAGGCTATATATGTCTTTGGCATGAACAAATACCCACTTCAACGATACATACCCAGCCACTCAAGCCTTCACACATTAAGAGCTGCTTTTGCCTGCTGATTACATGTTAGAATTTATCTAAAGCAATCTACGTTGTACTGTCATGACATGTTGTTCTTTGCATCATGATTCATGAAACATCTAACATTAATGACACCATATCAGTATATAATGGACACTCATCAGTAATTGAACACAAGCTTTAATATAGTTATTAGGTTTTGAAAAAAGAAGGGATTTGAGGCTAAAAACAATTTCTAATACATTCTATTAAAAGCTCAAGTACTACCAACACAATCATCTTTATATCAAAGCTTATACAGATACCAATACCCTGTCCCAATAAATTTCACAAATTTTGTGTATTTTTTTTGAATGTGGATGGTTACCATTAAACTTTGTTTCAAATTGTTACAAGAAACTGACCTGAGATTACTCAAACACAGTTTATAATATAGATCGTATTTAATTGCTTATAGCATATATAGTCTTCTTTCCAGCCAGCTGAGAATACATTCAGATATTCTATCCTTAAAAGCCTTTAGAGCAGCTGGGTGGTGGGGCCCCACACCTTTTATCCCAGCACTCAGGAGGCAGAGGCAGGCAGATCTCTGTGAGTTCGAGGCCAGTCTGGCCTACAAAGTGAGTGAGGTCAATAAAGTGAGTTCCAGAGCAGGCACCAAAGCTACAGAGATACTCTATCCAGCAAAACCAGAAACACACACACACACACACACACACACACACACACACACACCAGAAAAGAAAGAAAGAAGAAAAAATAAAGGACTTTATAATGGCAAACACCACATCCTGTTATCTTATTCTGAAGCTACAGTGGGAGGTTTGGTACAATCAACCATTTTAACAGATGCTGAGAAAAGCAGTTAGTTTGAAGGGGGTTATATAATAGGCAGCTTAACAAAAGTCGAGATAAGTTATCTGGGTCATCTTGACCTAAGGTTCCTAGAAGAGAGGTGGGTAATTTTCCATCAAGGAGGACAAATTCTAGTCAAACTTAAAGAGGTCTCAGAAGGAATACGAGGTGAAAGAATCTCTGCACTGTCTTGCCCTGTTACATTCCCCACTGATTCTATGGGCATGAGTTAAATCATTGACTCATATTATTATGGAGGGAAACGTTGGTCCTAAGAACCACTAGCCTAACTGAGTTTATTCTGTTTTATATATAGTTGGTCATGCAGTTGAGGATGCAGTGTCCCTCTGTTAGTCCAATCTTATAAGAATCAATGGTCCAACTAATGCTGACAGTGAGGTAGTCAGCCATGGGGACTAGGTAAACAGAGGCTTATACCAATTATCTGATCTACATCTCCTTTTCTCCATTTCTTTGTTTTTTTTTTCTGAACATGGCAAGGTTTACCTTTATTGCCCCTAAGTAGTTGGCATAAAAATAGCAAGTGATTCTCCTAAAGTCATGCCAAGTCATCACTGCTTCATTAAAAAATAAGTTGAGTCCCCTTAAGTTCTATAGCACTACCTTTGTGGAGGAGTCAGCTTGGCTCTCCAGCATGGAAACAGAATTCTCCAAAAGGCCTAGGTCTAAGTCTATCTGGGAACCAAGTCCTCTAAAGTTTTGGTACCCAACGACCAAGGCTTAGGTGCCTATGGCAGGTCCACCAGTTTATTCCCACCACTACTAGGATCAGGAGAGAGATGGGGCCCATTTAACTACTACTAACAATGAGTCAAGGCCAATATCAGCTCTTCCCTCTTTATTACAGGCATATATGGCTAGGGATAAAAGCACATACCAGTATACATAGAGTAGAGGTGTGAATTTCCAATGAGTTGGAGGAGCCACATTTAGTCAAACCAATTAGCACAAGACAAGAAAGCTAGGTGGATTCCGGGGCATGAAATAATATGTATGGTCCTCTAAGCTAGCACTGGTTCATTGGGCATTGGCACATATTTTATTATAAAGAAGCAAGACTATAATTTGAGGACATGATACAGACACCTTGTCCTTGACAAAAAACTCACCACTGGCAGGGCATACATAAAATTTAAAACCCAAAGGCCTTTTTCTAACCAATCCTCTCCACCATCTGATCTTCATCCCTTCCTAGATCCCTACTGTTTCATCCCTTGAAGAGACATAAAAGAACAGAGGTTCACCTGAAAGGTAGCATTTAATGATTCACTCAACGACATTAGACACACTCACTAATTCAGTGACTTCCAGTGACCTCTAAATACCGAGCACAAGCCAGCCAGATTACAACTGCTTCCCAGTCACTAATATGCCCAGATACCTTGACAGTCAACAAATGTTCCCCATGTGCCATTTCCTAGTCTCCACATAACATGAAATAACTCCCAAAACAGGGGTCCAAATAATACACCCATCATGAAAGCAGTATTTACGTTCTTTTTTCCTTCCTTCCTTCCTTCCTTCTTTCCTTCCTTCCTTCCTCCTCCTCCTTCTTTTTCAGGCAGGGTTATTGGATCACTGGCCTAGAACTCATTATGTAACAGAGGTTGGCTCTGATATCCTGGTCACCCTGCCTCCTCCCAATGCAGGGATTACAATATGTCCCACCAAGCCTGGCATAGAAGCATCATTGAAACAGGCTTCTAGAAACTACTTTTGCCCTTCAGGCTTGGTGACTGGTTATATTAATAACACAATTCTCACTTCAATGGTAATATGAAGTTTATTCTAGAGGCAAGAATGTGTTACCATGGCCCAGGAGTACAGATTCAGGCTACCCAAAGACTATATGCCAATGCAAAAGAGTTTGATGAAATCTTTCTAGTAAGAGTATAAAACAAAGTCATAAATAAGAGTACTTTTATAGTATGTTGGTGAGAGCAGCAGAACAGTTTAGAGGGTGCTTTGCCAACATGCCTGACAATACAAGTTTGATGCCTGGGACACAATCGTAGAAGAGAACTACCTATAACCTCTACATGTACATGTGACCAAACACATACGATCACACAAAACACACACACAAACATATAGAAACCTGCTCTCAGAAAGTAGGAAAGAGACAGCTTTAGGAAGAGACTAGAAATAGTCATCTGATTTCTATGCCCATTTCCATGCGGGTGCAGTCAAACAAACATGTACACATACATACACACCAAAACAATACCAACATAAAACTAACATTGGTGGGGCCATGAGATAGGAGCATTATAAT